TCCAGTTTACCTGCAATTAAGTTTGCCTACACTCAGTTTGCCTACATTCAGTTTGCCTACACTCAGTTTGCCTACATCCAGTTACTCTACATCCAGTTTTCCAACAATTCAGTTTGCCTACACTCAGTTTGCCTACATTCCATTTGCCTACACTCAGTTTACCTACAATTCAGTTTGCCTACAATTCAGTTTGCCTATATCCAGGGTCTACATTACCTGCAATTAAGTTTGCCTACATCCAGTTTGTCTACATCCAGTTTACCAACAATTCAGTTTGACTACACCCAATTTCTCTACACTCAGTTTACCTACAATTCAGTTTGCCTACAATTCAGTTTGCCTACATCCAGTTTGTCTACATCCAGTTTACCAACAATTCAGTTTGCCTACATCCAGTTTACCTATAATTCTGTTTGCCTACACCCAGTTTGTCTACATCAAGTTTAAGAACAATCCAGTTTGCCTACTCTCAGTTTCCCAACAATTCAGTTTGACTACACCCAATTTCTCTACACTCAGTTTACCTACAATTCAGTTTGCCTACATCCAGTTTACCAACAATTCAGTTTACCTTCGCACAGTTTGCCTACAATCCAGTTTGCCTACATCCAGTTTACCAACAATTCAGTTTGACTACACTCTATTTGACTACATTCAGTTTGCATACATCCAGTTTACCAACAATTCAGTTTACCTACACACAGTTTGCCTACATTCAGTTTGCCTACATCCAGTTTACCAACAATTCAGTCTGACTTCACCCAGTTTGTCTACATCAAGTTTACCAACAATTCAGTTTGCATACTCTCAGTTTACCAACAATTCAGTCTGACTACACCCAGTTTACCAACAATTCAGTTTGCCTACACACAGTTTGACTACATTCAGTTTCCCTACATCCAGTTTACCAACAATTCAGTTTGCCTACACACAGTTTGCCTACATTCAGTTTGCCTACATCCAGTTTACCAACAATTCAGTCTGACTACACCCAATTTGTCTACATCAAGTTTACCAACAATCCAGTTTGCCTACTCTCAGTTTACCAACAATTCAGTTTGACTACACCCAATTTCTCTACACGTAGTTTACCTACAATTCAGTTTGCCTACAATTCAGTTTGCCTACATCCAGTTTACCAACAATTCAGTTTACCTTCGCACAGTTTGCCTACAATCCAGTTTGCCTACATCCAGTTTACCAACAATTCAGTTTGACTACACTCTATTTGACTACATTCAGTTTGCATACATCCAGTTTACCAACAATTCAGTTTACCTACACACAGTTTGCCTACATTCAGTTTGCCTACATCCAGTTTACCAACAATTCAGTCTGACTTCACCCAGTTTGTCTACGTCAAGTTTACCAACAATTCAGTTTGCATACTCTCAGTTTACCAACAATTCAGTCTGACTACACCCAGTTTACCAACAATTCAGTTTGCCTACACACAGTTTGACTACATTCAGTTTCCCTACATCCAGTTTACCAACAATTCAGTTTGCCTACACACAGTTTGCCTACATTCAGTTTGCCTACATCCAGTTTACCAACAATTCAGTCTGACTACACCCAATTTGTCTACATCAAGTTTACCAACAATCCAGTTTGCCTACTCTCAGTTTACCAACAATTCAGTTTGACTACACCCAATTTCTCTACACGTAGTTTACCTACAATTCAGTTTGCCTACATTCAGTTTGCCTACATCCAGTTTACCAACAATTCAGTTTACCTTCGCACAGTTTGCCTACAATCCAGTTTGCCTAAATCCAGTTTACCAACAATTCAGTTTGACTACACTCTATTTGACTACATTCAGTTTGCATACATCCAGTTTACCAACAATTCAGTTTACCTACACACAGTTTGCCTACATTCAGTTTGCCTACATCCAGTTTACCAACAATTCAGTCTGACTTCACCCAGTTTGTCTACGTCAAGTTTACCAACAATTCAGTTTGCATACTCTCAGTTTACCAACAATTCAGTCTGACTACACCCAGTTTACCAACAATTCAGTTTGCCTACACACAGTTTGACTACATTCAGTTTCCCTACATCCAGTTTACCAACAATTCAGTTTGCCTACACACAGTTTGCCTACATTCAGTTTGCCTACATCCAGTTTACCAACAATTCAGTCTGACTACACCCAATTTGTCTACATCAAGTTTACCAACAATCCAGTTTGCCTACTCTCAGTTTACCAACAATCCAGTTACCTACACCCAGTTTACCAACAATTCAGTTTGCCTACATCCAGTTTACCTACAATTCAGTTTACCTACATTCAATTTGTCTACATCAAGTTTAAGAACAATCCAGTTTGCCTACTCTCAGTTTGCCTACATTCAGTTTGCCTACATCTAGTTTACCAACAATTCAGTTACCTACACCCAGTTTACCAACAATTCAGTTTGCCTACATCCTGTTTACCTACAATTCAGTTTACCTACATTCAGTTTGTCTACATCAAGTTTAAGAACAATCCAGTTTGCCTACTCTCAGTTTGCCTACATTCAGTTTGTCTACATCAAGTTTACCAACAATTCAGTAACCTACACCCAGTTTACCAACAATTTAGTTTGCCTACATCCAGTTTACCTACAATTCAGTTTACCTACATTCAGTTTGTCTACATCAAGTTTAAGAACAATCCAGTTTGCCTACTCTAAGTTTGCCTACATTCATTTTGCCTACATCCAGTTTACCTACAATTCAGTCTGACTACACCAAGTTTGTCTACATCAAGTTTACCAACAATTCAGTTTGACTACACTCTATTTGCCTACAATTCAGTTTGCCTACATCCAGTTTACCAACAGTTCAGTTTGACTACACTCTATTTGCCTACATTCAGTTTGCCTACATCCAATTTACCAACAATTCAGTTTACCTACACCCAGTTTGCCTACAGTCAGTTTGTCTACATCCAGTTTACCAACAATTCAGTCTGACTACACCCAGTTTGTCTACATCAAGTTTACCAACAATTCAGTTTGCCTACTTTCAGTTTACCAACAATTAAGTTTGCATACATCCAGTTTACCAACAATTCAGTTACCTACACCCAGTTTGCCTACGTTCAGTTTGCCTACATCCAGTTTACCAACAGTTCAGTTTACCTACACACAGTTTGCCTACATTCAGTTTACCTACATCCAGTTTACCAACAATTCAGTCTGACTACACCCAATTTGTCAACATCAAGTTTACCAACAATCCAGTTTGCGTACTCTCAGTTTACCAACAATAAAGTTTGCCTACATCCAGTTTACCAACAATTCAGTTTGCCTACATACAGTTTACCAACAATTCAGTTTGACTACACTCTATTTGTCTACATTCAGTTTGCATACATCCCGTTTACCAACAATCCAGTTTGCCTACTCTCAGTTTACCAACAATTCAGTTAGCCCCACATCCAGTTTACCAACAATTCAGTCTGACTACACCCAGTTTGTCTACATCAAGTTTACCAAGAATCCAGTTTGCCTACTTTCAGTTTACCAACAATTAAGTTTGCCTACATCCAGTTTACCAACAATTCAGTTACCTACACCCAGTTTGCCTACATCCAGTTTGCCTACATCCAGTTTACCAACAATTCAGTCTCACTACACCCAGTTTGTCTACATCAAGTTTACCAACAATTCAGTTTGACTACACTCTATTTGACTACATTCAGTTTGCATACATCCAGTTTACCAACAATTCAGTTTACCTACACACAGTTTGCCTACATTCAGTTTGCCTACATCCAGTTTACCAACAATTCAGTCTCACTACACCCAGTTTGTCTACATCAAGTTTACCAACAATCCAGTTTGCCTACTTTCAGTTTACCAACAATTAAGTTTGCCTACATCCAGTTTACCAACAATTCAGTTACCTACACCCAGTTTGCCTACATCCAGTTTGCCTACATCCAGTTTACCAACAATTCAGTCTCACTACACCCAGTTTGTCTACATCAAGTTTACCAACAATTCAGTTTGACTACACTCTATTTGACTACATTCAGTTTGCATACATCCAGTTTACCAACAATTCAGTTTACCTACACACAGTTTGCCTACATTCAGTTTGCCTACATCCAGTTTACCAACTATATAGTCTCACTACACCCAGTTTGTCTACATCAAGTTTACCAACAATTCAGTTTGACTACACTCTATTTGACTACATTCAGTTTGCATACATCCAGTTTACCAACAATTCAGTTTACCTACACACAGTTTGCCTACATTCAGTTTGCCTACATCCAGTTTACCAACAATTTCAGTCTGACTAAACCCAGTTTGTCTTCATCAAGTTACCAACAATCCAGTTTGCATACTCTCAGTTTACCAACAATTAAGTTTGCCTACATCCAGTTTACCAACAATTCAGTTTACCTACACCCAGTTTGCCTACATTCAGTTTGCCTACATCCAGTTTACCAACAATTCAGTTTGACTACACCAAGTTTGCCTACATTCAGTTTGCCTACATCCAGTTTACCTACATCAAGTTTACCAACAATTCAGTTTGACTACACTGTAATTTGCCTACATTCAGTTTGCCTACATTCAGTTTGCCTACATCTAGTTTACCAACAATTCAGTCAGACTACACCCAGTTTGTCCACATTCGGTTTACCTACAATTCAGTTTGCCTATAAGTCATTTTTGACAATTCAGTTTGCCCTCATTCAGTTTGCCTACAATTCAGTTTGCTGACATTCAGTTCGCCGACAATTCACGATTGTCTAAATTTAGTTAGATAACAATTAAGTTTGTTTACACTCAGTTTACCTTCATTCAGTTTACTGATCATGAAAATATCTCCTTCACTCTGCTCATTACTGTGCACTGTGAAATTGCGACCCTTATGTTACCTGACGCCTCATGTGCACGTCACCTCTTTTGAGATATCCGTTGATATGATGCATGTAATATCGCCTGTGATACCCGTATCAAATACAATTAGAAATAATAACACCAAAAATAGAAAGATTTTCAAAATATTTTATGCCCAATATACTTGCTTTAAAAACAAAAAGAATCTGAAAAAAAAGAATAAATAAGGAAAATGAGTACATTCCAGCTCTCTAGATACAATGCTGCTTAACTATAATCTTGTCCCATCTTCACGTACTTCCACTTATATACGGGGCGGTCGGGTAGCTTAGTGGTTAAAGCATTCGCTCGTCACGCCGAAGACCCAGGTTCGATTCCCGACATGGGTACAATGTGTGAAGCCCATTTCTGGTGTCCCCCGCCGTGATATTGCTGGAATATTGCTAAAAGCGGCGTAAAACTCACTCACTCACTCAACCTATATACTTTTTGACTTTGCACATGGATCCGCTATATTATCAAGGAGTTGTTTTCTTTAGTAATGTGTAAGTGAGTGAGTATGATTTTATGCCGCTTTTAGCAATATTTCTGCAATATCACGGTGAGGGACACCAGAAATGGGCTTCACACATTGTACCCATTCGGGAATCGAACCCGGGTCTTCGGCGTGACTAGCGAACGCATGACCACTCCGACCGTCCCTTTTGTAATGAAGATAGCATAAAGGCTCAATGTAAATTAAAGCGACAAAACCTTTTCCATATTCATAAGAAATATCTGCCAAAAGCAGAGGAAATTCTACGATACCGACAATATCATGAAAATTTGTTTATGAATCACTATCAAATAGTGATGGTACCAGGTGTTCGCGAAAAGGTGAGCGCAACCTGCCCTACCGGTGGCACCCGTCACAAACACTTTTAAAGGCTTTTAAGTTGTTCACCTGAGAAAAAACACGGGAACATATGGTACAAAGTCAAAATAGGGAATTGAATCCGACATCATTTTTGTGACTGTTGTGTCAAATTTGGAAATCTCCTACCATCAAACTTTTTGAAAGCTTTATTGAGGCCTTGAACTTTGTAACTTTGATGAAGCAACTTCTGAGCAAGGGGCGTTTGCACAAACTAAACAGTGACTGGTTTGTGATAAATTGCAAATCCCTTCAATTAATAATATTTGGGTGACCATTTGGTTTAGTGATACTGTGTTGTTTCTACCACTGTCACTGAAAATAACTGTTTGTTTCCATAATTATATGCCTGAGAAATATCTTGTTGAATAAACATAAAAAAAAATTATGATAGTGGTTGAGTCATAGGCCTACATGACCTTCTGGAGTTTACACAAATATTCTCCTTTTCATGATGCGTTACAGGTTACACCGATTTCATATCACATAGACACCATGTATTAACGTTAAATCAATACATAAGAACACACTTTGACAAAGTGACAATGGATGCATTTCCCATTCAATTACCTGCAAGTTTAATAGTCCATAATTATTATCTCGTCACTTCACAACAAGGAGAAATAAGACTCGAGATGGCGTTCACCACACATTCAAAATCCTCGGCCACAAGGGACCGAACTCTTAATAATGGGACCTGCTCCCCAGCATTTGAAGCAGTTGGGGGTTGATGTTCAAGTCGGAGTTCCCTCCCCTGGAGCTGAATAAACACAAACCGAAAACTATCGGTCAAAATGCAAAACACCGGAACCGCTTCGACATCAACGCCATTCTTCCATGCCAGCTGTTGAATAGCACATACTTGCAAGACAGACTGCACAAACGCCTTTTTATCCAAACTAAAGGGAGTTTTGGCTTCAACACAGCCAACGGGTTTACGGTTTTCTTTTGAAATAAGATAATCAAACGTCCCGTTTGGGAGTCGTGTCGATTTGAAGTCTCTCTCAGTTTGCAACCTTAGGTTGTGAGCTTTACAAACTTCAAGGAGCAAACGATCAATGAATATGCGAGCGTCGCTCTCTTTGACAAGACAGCTCGTTATATCCTTTAGAGAAACCTCTTGGAATTTCAGAAGGGTGTCATAATGTTCCTTAACCAGTGAAGGTAATTCAGCACCTGCATCTGACGGTTGGTATGCGAGCTCAAGGTCTTTGACACATGTTTTAAAGATGAAATATTTTGAAAGCATCCTTAACGTCCATTTGCTAACATGATTGGATCTATCACAGTAAAACAGTGTGGAGGGTTTTCCCCGTTTTACGACAGATAATGGTTGTTCCTTGATCTTATCTTGTGAATAAGACAACCATTCAAATTTGAGAAGTTGGAGTTCTTTCTTGAGTGGAGTCTTTCTTTCTGACTCCTCAATTATGTCATCTTCAGCAGTCACGTCTATTGGGTTCATTTCCATGCCAATTGTGTCGCCACTTCCGTTATCTCTGGAACTAACGTCATCGCCATTTGCAAATTTCAAGATATCCAAAATAGGAGTGTCACAAGCGACACTGTTAAAGGGTCTAAGCTTTGATTTTCTCTCTGAATTGCCAGTCACGTGTGTAGCTGATCCAGTTCTAAGGCCATCCGTTGAAGGGTCGTGGGCCTCTAGCTTTTGTGCAAAATCATCTGACAGACATGTACAGGTATCAGGGCTATCAATCGCGTCGTCTTTTCTGGCAATTGGTAATTCTGCTTTCAATGATTTTAGAAATTGTTTCCAGCAGTCCAAGTTGGCTTTCTGAAATAAGAATAGCTGTCGTTACTGATTGTCTGAAAGAATCATGAAAACAGTGAGTAAGATAATGCTGTTGCACAGTAGCAGGTGAGCAAAATTCCAACTAGTCACGAACTAAATAATTACTACAGCCTTAGACAGGTAGACCTCAACAAAATCAGATCACAAAGCGGACATCTCATTACAGACCACGTCAGAACGAACTTTGACGACCCAATGAAATGACTAACAGTGCGTCGACATAAGCCAGTCAAAAAGCAGCTGTGTCGAACTTTCCGGCACTCATTTCAAAAATATTTTTTATCCGTTCTCAATTAAAATTTTGAAAACAGAACAAAAGAAAATATATCATAGATTGCCGAGATTGTATGGCAGTACGTCCCACGGGTCTGTGGAAAGTCTCTTCTTTTTCAAATGTTTATTTTACTGTTTCGGAATCCCCCGTGTTACCCTTTTGGAGGTTGCATGAGGAAATGCATTAGGAAATGCATGCCGACTTTCACTTTTGCGATCTCGTCAGCGTCACTCTGATTGGTCGCATGAAAGTCGTTCTGAGATGATATGTAATGATGAGGTGAGGTGAAATGGGGTTTAACGTCGCGTCCAAGATTATTGCACTTATATAGCGACGTCCATGCACGTGTGTGTGTGTGTGGCTGCTTGTACTAGTGCGGACTGATGCCGATTTATAGTGCTAGCTCACTGAGATACCATGCTGCAGTTTAACATGAATACCCCACTCAGACACAGTATACTGACTCCGAGCCGACCAGTCCTTGTTTTAGCCCCTTAATGTCGAGCGCCAGACAGGGTAACAACAAGTACCATCTTTTAAAGTCTTTTGGTATGACGCGGTCGGGGATCGAACCCCAGACCTTCCGCTCTCCGGGCAGACGCTCAACCACTAGACCACGGAGGCGGTCGATATGTAATTGGATAGCCTCAGATACTTGTGTAGCTGTAGCGAGCACTAAGTTCTGATTTTAAAGAGATTGTTGCAGAAGCAACGTTCCATGTCGCCTGAGCAGGATGATGCACAAAGAAACAGGTCACACAGGGAAATTAGAATGAACCACCGAAAAAATATACTTAATAGATCGGGCGGACGGGCTCAATTTCTTAGTTGAAGAAATAAATAATTTATATTTCATCAATTAATATTTGATTATATGCTATCATAAATTGAATTATTGATTTCAGCAAATTTTATTTCGTCTGATTTATATCTACCACCAATTCATTTTTTCACAAGTTTATTTGTTTGAAATACGTAAATAAAAGCGACAAAACCCTTTCCATATTTATAAGAAATGTGCTACTATCCCGACTATATCGTGAACATGAGTTTATGAATCACTATCAAATAGTAATAATACCAGGTGTTCGCGAAAAGGTGAACTGCCCCACCGGTGGCACAAACACATGATAAGGCAAAAACACGGGGAAATGTGAATCTTTATGCATAGATCTAAATATGAAATAGATGAAGCGGCCTCACTGGTCTTCTTTATTTCTAGTTCAGGTAGGTAAATCCTTGGAAGGGAATTGACTATTTTATGGTTATTGAACGATATCGTATAATCGATATACCTGAAGTTAAACTTAAACTTCTTGGCCAAGTTACCTTGTTTTGAGCATCCTGATTCAAATGCATAAAGTAACAGATCAGCAAGAAGAGGAGAGCAACTGGAGCCTATGGGGATGATCAAATCTATTTTTAGATATCAATAAAAGATGATGCTATCTCATACTTATATAACTGCAACCATTGAGAAGTGCAAAGATTCAAAGTTATAAGGAATATTGGGAAATGGATATGACTAGTCTATGTGTTAGGGGGTTGGCGCGCGCGCGCGCTCCTCTGATACGTAGTGAAATGATGTTTGTGTTAGTATTTTCACCATCGGGGCGGAGGGGTAGCCTATTGATTTAAGCTTTCGTTCGTCACCTTGAAAGCCCGGGTTCGATTCCCCTCATGGGTACAATGTGTGATGCCGCCGTGATATTGTTGAATTATTGTTAAAAGCGGCGTAAAACCATACTCACTCACCTTATTTACTATCATATTCCCTATTTTATTGTTTTTGTTTGTTTGTTCGTTGTTTAACGCCACACTCAGCAATATTCCAATAATCTGACGGCGGTCTGTAAATAATCGAGTCGGGACCAGACAATCCAGTGATTGACATTATGAGCATCGATCTATACGCAATTGGGAAACGATGGCATGCATCAACCAAGTCAGCGAGCCTGACCACCCAATCCCGTTAGTCGCCTCTTACCAAAAGCATGGGTTGCTGAAGACCAATTCTATCCCGGAATCTTCACGGGACACATATTTTATTATTCTAAGCACCTTGATACTCACAAAAAATGCTCTCTTTTTTACTACATTTAATGCTCTACGGTATTTTTTTCTGGACTACAGGTTTGCAATGGCCCGATCGACCTTAATTAATTAGTTTAAATACGTGTTCACATATACTTATATTACCATGTGGTAGATGGGGAAGTGGGCGTGGTTTCAAATGTGCCATTCGTTTTATCACTTATTTACTTAGTTCACATCCATGTCTTGTGTAATATCTCTGAGTCAGGTTACTAAATTGCATGTCCTAACGTGTTATTAATGACAAAAGCGACGCCCAGAACAAGCATATCGCAACTACTGTAAACCAAAAGTAGGCTCTTTCTCATTGGATAACAAGGGAGTTAACTTTGACCCTAAATATATCATCCTGGTCGCGATATGAAAATCGCATTTGACAGTAAATGAGTAATATCAGGAGAAGAAGGCAGAAGACAAAAGACCAAACTACTTCACTCACTGTCTCGGCATCCTGCGACATTGTTGATGATGCCCCCAGTACAAGAGGCGTTCTCCCTAATATATAGGCTTCCTGGTTGTAGGTCTGCAGATAGGCTATATGTGTGTACACTGCGGGGGAAGCATTATACTACTCGTATCAGTAATGCTTGCGGTGTACAGTGAGCCCGGAACATGTATGGGGTATTCTACTTAGATTCAGGCGAATCAGACGTCAGAAGTGCGTCAGACGTCAGTCCCATTCAAATGAGACGAAGTAGCTTTCGCTGAACAAAGATCGTGATACGACAGCAATCAGCTGCGTCACCGCGCCTGACCTTCCGCGATCTATTAAGTCGCTTCTCGCGAAGAGCAGCTGGCCGTGGACCTGTTCTAACATCAAACCAGATCAAAAAGAAGGCGTTTATAGTAAACTTGAATTGCTTATATGGCGTTTTACATACTCCACCCTGAATACATTTTAATATGTATATACTAATTATTCACTAGTCTGTAAAAAGAAACTGGCTTTTTAGTTCAGGCAAGGAGTGTATATGAGGAAAGAGTCCAAAGACACCCATATATCTTCTATATACGCTGTATTTATGTCTCTCTTAGGTTCATGTCATGGCGTTTGAGTATTCGTACTCTGTCCTTTTTTTCCTTCATCTATTGAACGATGGAACTCATTTTATTATCGACTGTTTCGTCTTTTCGAACTCAAGACATTTTCAGTTCTTCAGGTTTACTTGACTGCACGTTTCTGAATAAGTGTTCAGTTGAAAAACATGTATCTTTAAGCGAAATCGTTCACGCAATGTTTAAAAGGAAAATAATGTTTTTGTGATCTGAAAAAATATATATTATGTAATATATGTTGGTCTATGGGTACAATTTGTTATTTAAGTGTGTATAGATACCGCAAAGTGTTGTTATATGTCTATTGAATATTTAAGTCCGCTTGTAGGTATCCATATGTGCGTGTATCTGTAATTGTGCTTGACGACTAATCATTTAATAGAGACAGTGCCGTAGCCAGCCCCCCCCCCCCCGATTTTTTTTTATAGAAAACAGTTTTATTTAAATGAAGTTGGGGTCAAGTGATACTTGTACAAATGTTTGGAGAAGGAGGGGGGGGGTCTAACGCGGGCTCATCGCGGTTCTAGTTGTTAATATGTCTCTGTTTATATCTTTACGTATATACTTAGCAAATGATCACTATGTAAAGATTATTAAGAACATTGTTTTAAAACAAACACCCACTGCCAGTTAGACAGTCTACTTGCTGGTGTTATTCAAGATCCCGAATTTATTTATTTTTCCTTCGCGTTTACTAATTCTATTCGTAAAAATAAACGTCAATAAATTAAACGAAATTCACGGTGTCAGATCTTTCTGACAGGGACAAACTGGGCGTCTGTCTACATAAACAACGCACGATTCGACAAGTGCAACAACAGCATTAACCCAGTTTAACTGTAGTGTCACGTGACCGGAAGTGTGTATATTGGCGGACAAGTTTGAAAACTGTAAACAAGAGGCGACACATTTATGATTTGATATCTTTTATTTGGCAGTAAACAGGTACCGGTGTTATATGCAAACTGAGTAGGAGATCTGAAATAGTCATACACCAGTCTTACTGTGATAATGTGCGAGTACGATGACTAAGGCGGGGTCGTTGTCGGCAAAGGCATCAGACTACACAGTGTCACAACACATGCAGTCTACAATAAAGAAATGTACCCCGGATATCGTTCTGTATGTATACACAAATGGGCCCTAACCAAGAGCTGAGTACAGAAATGTACACTAACGTAGCAATGCTTACGGCGCTGAATTCAGGAGTGTAGGGGATAAGGATTAAGGTAAACCACACACTTGCGGCTTGTTGCACAAGTGATTTCAGTCTTTGAACCTCGTTTTGTGCAATGTGATTCGTGAAAATGTACAGTACCGGACAGAATTTGCCAAGCTAGGGCTACCTGGGGAAACACATTTCTGCCTTCGGACACCTTTCTGTAGTACCTATGCTGACAACGAACCCAACAGCATGACTAGGCCTAATTTGACAAGTAGGCAGGTGCCTGCTAGCTCTCTAGCCATTACGCAAGTCATAGCCAGGCGATCAGCCTGATATTAATTGAATAAGGCAATACAACTAATCATCATGTGATCATGCTGGTTCTTGCAATTACAATCCCTTGCTATCATAAAAACTAAGTAGAATGTCAAGTGTGTGAATGTTTTTCTGAGCCTGTTACTCAAGACAATTTATATACGAAAGAGCAGTATGTTGTCACCAACCACTATCACCATGATCATCATATGCCATGAAGTTGGTAGCTCACAGACATGAGGAAAATAAATGATGTTATGAATTTTACCTTTATTTCACCAAGTGTATTTTATATAAATAAAAAACTTCTTTAACATCTTTTCATACATAGGACATGTTAAAAGCGCTGTACTTGAACACTTGCCAGTCTTTGGCATGTTAGTTGGACACATTACTTCTTTGTATTCTCAGAAACATGATTAATGCTTCAAATTGCTAACAATATGGTTACCTTGCCTCAGTTTAAAGAATGTACACAAATACAACCTATGCATGTTTTCAATTTCAGATCATTTTGTTTTCGAGGAATGAATGTCATCCAAAATGCGATGAGGACATTTTTCAAATTTTGTTAATAATAGAAAACAATATCCGTACTACATGATCTATCTTTTGTAAAATTGTGATAAATAATCTGATGACTATTGACATTTGTCTCCTGCAAAATCACTGCTTTCGCTCTAGTGATTTCCAAACTTGACTTTGCATTGTGTCTATGGTATAGTAAAAGCATTTACTATCCTATGTGATTCTGATATGATCATGGTGATGTAAACTGCTCCAGATCACGATGCCCCAGATGACCCTTGTGGACGTGTTTGACCAGTGCCAGGATGGTATGCAGTGTCACAACCGACTCCTCAAGTCCATGGCGAAGATATATCAATCTGTATGTCCTTTATCAAGATGAGCATGTTAAAGTGTTTGAGGTGTATACTTGATATCATACAGCAATCTTTATGTGTCATTCAAATTACATGAATTTTTTAACATGTTACTTCACATACAGCATTGTGCAGTGATAAACAATCATGTTGAAGTAATCAAGCTACCCGCATAGCCACAGCTCAATCATAAATTTCGACCCCTGAAGACCCGGGGTAGAATAGGTCTCCAGCAACCCATACTTGCTGTAAAAGATGACTAAAGGGATCGGGTGGTCAGACTCGCTGAAATGGTTGATCCATGTCATCGTAGCCTAATTGCATGGATCGATGCTCATGGTGTCAAACACTGGATTGTCTGGTCCAGACTCGATTATTTACAGACCGCCGTCATATAGCTGGGATATTGCTGAGTGTGGCGTTAAAAAACAAACAATCAAAGTTTCATAAGAAATATGTTTTATTATCCACTGATTATTGTCGACAAAGTGTTGTAAACATGGTCAAGCTATTATCATTCAGAGTTCATTTTGAGTGTGCATTGTTATGATGTTCAAGCAAAATGTTTCATAATCATGGTAATCATTTCACATTTTCAGCTACATGTACACGTTTTTAATATTGTGTAATGCTTATGATTTTCAGATGGAGTTTGATGCCTTCTGGACTGAGTTTGTCCACTATCTGAAATACTCCATGATAGTGTTCAAGCGAGAGGCTGCCGTTGAGAGGACAATTGATTTTGTTGCCAAGTTTGTTGCCTCAACAGTTAAACAGCAACAGCAGGATCAGCCCCAGCAGGACCAGCAACAAGATGGGACGGGAGACAAGGGGGATGAGGACGCAGCAGAGACGAAGGATGAATCTAACAAGTTCCTGCTGACCATACTGGACTTTCTCTTACAGGTTCCTATGAACATGATGAATATATCTCAATCATAAAGATTTATAGATATTTACTACCCCTGTACTATTCATAATTCATTATTTACCGTATACATTCTAATGATGCCAAATTGACATGCCAAATTTTGAAGCATTGGCCTTGTATTATTTTCAAAATGTCCACAATACAGAGCCTTCTAACATGGTTTGTTACCAGGTTTGTGTTGCTTATGTTGCAGTCTCACAGTGCGAAGGAGAGGGGAGTAAGATTTCGGTGTTGTCAGCTGATCAACAAGCTGCTGAGCAACCTAGGAGACGAGGCTCAGATCGATGACGAACTGTATGACAAGATCTACACATCCATGTTGGAGCGACTGCGAGACAAGGTGCCTGTGGTCAGGATGCACGCCGTGTTGGCACTGTCTAGGCTTCAGGACCCCACAGATGAAAACTGTCCTGTCATTAAAGGTAACAGTGGTACTGTCAGGGGAACACTTAGGCCTAAAAAATAAAAGAATTGGTTCTCAGGCAATGACCTTTGAAAATATAGTACAGGCAGGCAGTGTTTTTTTGTTGTTGGGGTTTTTTTTTGGCTTATTCAAACTAGTATGTAACCAAATAAACAGTTGTGCACCATCAACCTGGGAAAGGGCCTCACTACATAATAAGCATACAAACTCTTATTGCCGCCATGACCATAACACGAGATGCGCAGTAAATAAAAACGAAAAGTGCAGCATACTTTATCATGTTTATGATGATGCTGGCAGTGCCTGAGAACCAACACTATTATTTTTTTAGCCTCATCAGGGATGCGTGGTTGCCTTGTGGTTAAGTGGTTGCTTGTCATGTGAAGACCATGTATTGATTCCCCTTGTAGGTACAACATGTGTTTTTGGTGTCCCCTGCTATAAAAACTACTGCAATATCGCTAAAAGGAGTATAAGCAAGACAACCCCATAACACTCATTCACAAATTCATCTGTGGACTATGGTTGTTGTAGCCATGATAACTTATGTTTCAAATGGTGTGTCATATTGCAATGTCACCATGCTTACCATGTTACTATCAAGATATGGGTATGTGTCATGTATCGTGACAGACACAGTGTATCGTTACAGCCCCAGGCAACATTTAGTAGTGATTTGAAATTCCTGATAATGCTAACTGACCAATAAGATTTAAGTATTTTCCAAGTTCATGGTAGAATCCTAGCTATCCTGGGCAATGTTGGCTCGCTTGCTACATCCTCCTTGAACATGGCCAATCATTTTCACAGTTCACACGTTACTTGATCATATGTTGAAACACTGCATCTCCTGACATTTATGGGCCGCCCTAAGCCATACATTATCAGTGAATGGTGTTTGAATCTTCCAGCGTACCTCTTCCTGATTGGTCGAGACCCCAACCCTGATGTCCGGCGAGCTGTCCTGTCATGCATTGCCCCCTCCACAAAGACACTGATGGCGATCATTGAGCGGACACGTGACGTGAAGGACACTGTGAGACGCGTGGCGTACAATGTGATAGCAGAGAAGATCCACATCAAGGCTCTGTCCATTGCCCAGAGAATACAGCTTCTGCAGGATGGCCTCAGTGACAGAGCAGGTCAGTCTACAGATCAACTTGTTTACAGTGCGAACCTACTGAATCTTCAAGAATCAAGATCTGATCAAGGATTTAACAATAAGTTTTTAAACCAAGTTCCCGGGCCTATAAACAGAAGTGCATATAACCTTTTTATTAGCGTAGCTAGTCACTGGATTGTCTGTTTTTAAGTTGTCCTGTACTCGACATGTTTTTTCAAACCAGAAGTTATATCGTTATTGCACTGGACACATGTCTTTTTCCAAATGGAAAGTGAAGTCATAAAATCAGAAGTGCTTGTCAAGCCTAGTCCCCAGTAAACCACTATCAGTAGGTATCATTGACAGGGGCAGTAGGCAGCCCACTCACCAACTCTCTCTCACTATAATTCACAGACATGGTGAAGGAGGCATGTGCTACAAAACTACTACAGGCGTGGCTGCTACAGTTCCAGGGCAGTGCACTACAGCTGCTACAGAGTCTGGACGTCGAGCAGTCGGCCGATGTCTGTCAGCAGGTGCTCTACAAGCTGTTTGAGAAGGTCCCAGTGGAGGAGATTGTAGACAACTTCGACCTGCTGGGCGAAGAGTAAGTGTTATCTCAATAACAGAGAAGTATAAAGGAAGTCAGTTTAAGGCTTAAAAACTATAAAAGAATTGATACTCAGCACAGGCAATGACTTTTGAAAATATTGTGTTGTTGGGTGGCAGGTTTTTTTGGGTTTTTTTTTTTTTTCTTTTTGCTTGTTCAAAAAAGTATGTTACCAGTTGTGTACCATCAACCTGGGAAAGGGCCTCTCTGTACACCATGACCATAAGATGTACAGTAAAGCAGTGTGCATGTAAAGGGTGCATGCAATATTGGATTGCATTGTTTTAAGAATTAGGGTATTTTTTTATTTCGAAAATGGAAATAAAAACGAAATCTGTGGTGGACTTTATGATGATGCATAAGACTCTTTCTTTTTCTTTTTTAGCCTGATAGGCCCCTGGAAATATACTTGTTGTTCCGGTGACCCGACCAACATACTTTATCACATCTTTAATAGTTTTAAATCATCATGATCAAAAGTGTCTCATTTATTTTATTAACGGCCCACAACCCATATCTGTTAAAGAAAATTTACCTGAAAGAGACATGGGTTTTTCAGATTAAAAACGATGTTTTATTGGTCTGTTTTCAGTCGTACAATTGGGTATCTCATACCTCTAGTCGCACGTTAAAAGGAAGCCAGAAGCTGGAATGTAAACAATAAACTTGTTTCCGTCCGGTTGTGCACGCACATGACATGCCACAAATCTCGAAGAATAAGCCATCAAGCAGGACTGGACTGGATTACTTCCCAGTGGGGATGGCTGGGTGGGAACGTACGACTGAAAACAGACCAATAAAACATCGTTTTTAATCTGAAAAACCCATGTTTTAGTCTGTTTTCAGTCGTACAATTGGGTAGAATTCGACGGAACACTGGAAGGAGGGTCTGGAAAGTAATCCGGAAGTGACCTCTTGCACGTCGAATGTACCAAGTTCCTCACCCCCATAGTGACAATAGAACATTCGACCAGATGCACGGACGAGACAAATTGTTTATCACGAACGCACAGCATGGTTAATGCTCATCGACACACAACTAATTATCGATGCGACAGGACAACTGCACGCGTCAGTTGAACGGCGATCGAAGTGGTCGACGTATAGTTTAGTTACAGAGCAACTCGCAGTATACAAGGTAACTAAACAGCATCTTTAATGCTCTTCGACCCACAAGTAAGTATCGATGCGACAAGGCAACTGCACACGACAGTTGAATTGCAATCGAAGTGTGGACGGCATATAATTTAGTTTCAGAACGACTCGTCGTATCCAAGGTAACTAAAACTGCATGTTTAATGCTCTTCGACCCACAAGTAAGTATCGATGCGACAGGACAACTGCACACGTCAGTTGAGGTGCGATCGAAACGTGGTCGGCTTATAATGTAGTTACAGAGCAACTCGCAGTATACAAGGTAACTAAAAAATACGAGCAGTACTTCTAGTCGGAGACAATGTCGAAGGCAACCTGATCGAGATAACTCAGGCAGAAAAGTGAGATAGCCAAGCCATAGCCAGGCTGTCGTCACAATCCATCGTCGACGTCGATTGTGTAGATGTAGATGAAGGTACTGGTGTATTGGTCGATGGTCCATGGACCTCTGACGTAGTCGAATCCTTCTTGGTCGACGCCCTGGAGGTGAGTACCGCCGTCGTGATCTGGGCTATCAAAGCTGGGGCGATATGAAAGTGAGACGAGGGTGTCGATCGGTCATTATCTCTACGACGCTGTCGTCACAATCCATCATCGACATCGATTGTGTAGGCGTAGATGAAGGAACCGGTGTACAGGACGATGGTCCATGGACCTCCGAGGTAGACGAACCCTTCTCGGTCGACGCCGTCAAGGCGAGTACCGCCGCCGTCATCTGGCCTATCAAAGCCGGGTCGATATGAAAGTGAGACGAGGGTCACAATCGATCATTATCTCTACGACGCTGTCGTCACAATCCATCGTCGACGTCGATTGTGTAGGCGTAGATGAAGGAACCGGTGTACAGGAAGATGGTCCATGGACCTCCGACGTAGACGAACCCTTCTCGGTCGACGCCGTCAAGGCAAGTACCGCCGCCGTCATCTGGCCTATCAAAGCCGGGTCGATATGAAAGTGAGACGAGGGTCACGATCGATCATTATCTCTACAACGCTGATCTCCCAAAAACTCCCTTCGAAGGCGTCGCACGTCCCCGTGGGGACGAGGGTTACGATCTCTAACTGTAGAAGTACTACGATCCCCATCGTAGTTATCGTCCGAATCGAACTCCCGACGACCTCGAAGGCGACGAACGTCCTCGTGTCGTTTACTGTCACTCGACGAGGCCCTCGACCTGTCGTCCCGTGAACGGGAACGACTTCTAGAGAGGGATCTGTGTTCACTGTCGACCCGCACGACGTTCCTATCGTCGTTGGTAGGACGAGAGACGGACCGACTGGGGACCATAGTCCCCTCGTGGTCCTCGTCACCACCCGGTCCCGTCGTAACGGGGGTGGCTGAGTGACGCTCTCGATCAACCGATTGACGAAGATCAGTCGTGCGGGTAGTATCATCAGCAGGCGAACGGTCCCGTGTCTTGTCAAAAACATAAGTTGACTGAGGCGGGTCTTTTTCAACTGATTTCTTGGGTGTGGCCGACGCGCCACCCCCAGGGCCAGATGTAGGGGGTGCAGAGTCCAAGGATCCACCCGATGACCTCCTCTGCCTGTAGCGCTGGTCAGTAGCCCGCTTCGCCAACGCACGAAGATACAAGTTAAAGTTGATAGAAGACAAATGCTCACATTCTTAACAACGTTCATTCCACGAACACGTTGAAAACCCGTCCTTATTTATGCAGGAAGGACAATACTTGTGAGGATCTACTTTAGACAGTTGTCCTTGACACGAGGCACAAATGCCCGACATGTTGCCACGTGTATAATCAAGTGAAACACGTGTTGAACCCAAACAATGGATTACCAATGAATACATTCCAGGAGTCTACAGGTAAGACATAGTATTATTACTGTATTAGAACAACAACTGTAGACACACGATAAGTACTAGGAGAATACAAACTAGCAGTCTATCGCGAAAGTCCTTCTCGAGCGACCAGCTCAGAGGCGCGCTGAGAGATTTGTGGCATGTCATCGGGAGGTGCGTGCGCAACCGGACGGAAACAAGTTTATTGTTTACATTCCAGCTTCTGGCTTCCTTTTAACGTGCGACTAGAGGTATGAGATACCCAATTGTACGACTGAAAACAGACTAAAACATATATTTTTCCTTTTGGCCTAGGAGTATAAGGAAGTAAGTTACCTTATGTTGAAAATTGTTTCCCATGTTAAAGATAGTTCTCACTGTTCATAAATGGTGACAGTATAATCTAGTACATTGTTTTGTTTGTTTGTTGGTTAACACCGCAAACAGCAATATTCCAGCTATATGACAGCGGCCTGTAAATAATCAAGCTTTGACCAGACAATCCAGTGACTGACATCATGAGCATTGATCCTTGCAATTAGGATTCAATGACATGTGTCAACCATTTCAGCGAGACTGACTCCCCAGTCCTGTTAGTGGCCTCTTTTGACAAACACAGTTGCCTTTTACAGCAAGCATGGGTTGCTGAAGACCTATTCTAACCCAGATCTTTCATCGGGTGTCCAGTACATTAGGTTTTGTCAAATGTTGTCAGAGTTGCTGCTGTTATGGTTATTGTGGTTATTGAGGAGGTGATGTATTGGGAATATCAAGCACTGTTACCATGATTACACACAGCATGTATATGTCATTTTGATGTTGTCGTAATGTGTTGAAGGACTCTGATCTCGGATGACAAGCTGACGTGTGAGAGTGCCATGTACTGGCGGGTGTTGTGTCAGTTCGTGCAGGAGAAGGGCGTCACATACGAGGAACAGCTGGATAAAGTCCTGCCATCCTGTATTGTACTGTGTCGATATGTTAGAAAGTAAGTTACATCATGATGAGGGTATGAAATCATTTCACCATGCTTATGTTAGCACACAAAAAAGCAGTCTCATTATTTCTGAGAGTTTTTGTTTAAAATAGTTTGTCAGCACCATCACAGATATATTTAGACCTGCTTAGAGGCCGTGATTGGCCTAAGTCTGCATCAAATGACAATAAAAATTCCCAATTTGAACTATAACAATTCCAAATTTCACAGATTTTACGAAAATAAGAATTGAAACAATCCAATTTTGAATAATATGTTGTTGTTTTTACCAATTTGCCTGCAGAGGTCACTTAGTTTGGAATCCTTGATAAATCCCGGAGTTTACCTGTGACTGTACCTGTTTCACTAGTGGTAAACTTAGAAGAGCTGCATCAACGTAGAAGACCTGCAAACTCACTCACATACATCTGAATGTCACCTTGTGCCTTTTATCTCACTTGACATTGTCTGATGTCATCTCACTTGACATTGTCTGATGTCATCTCACTTGACTTTGTCTGATGTCATCTCACTTGACTTTGTCTGATTTCATCTCACTTGACTTTGTCTTATGTCTCAGCAGGTTTCTGGAGAAGCTGACAGGCTGTGGTGAGGACTTTGACAGACAACTGGAGCTGGAATACATTGGCCAGCAGATCTTGTGTCTCTTCAAGTACATGGACCTATCAGATCAGGCTGGTCGGTAAGTGTCTGTCTTCCAGCATTATTACCTCCTGTCTGGTATTCCACAAAGTGTTTAAGTGTAGGCCAATGTTGTGTTCACCATGTTTAAAGACTAGAGTTGCACGGTATTATCGGTATACCACGATTTTAAATGCATTTGTACATATCACAATAAGTTTGGAAAATATCTGTGTATTGCATTTTTCAAATTCATGCATATTTTCATCTTGTTGGCAAAGTTTACATCAGTGATAAAAGAAATGAAATTTAAAAGTCAGCAACTTGATTCCTGAGTTTTTAAAAAACATGCGGGGAAGTCTGATGTATGGAGCCATTTTTTATCAAATTATAGATAAGAATTGCATGCAATATATATATACTGAACCGCAAAACGTCACCATGCATAGATATATGAGAAACCTTTATTTGTCCAAACACTGTTAACATACTTTGAGACATATTAAAAAGATGAAACTTGGCAAAACTGCTCATCAAGGTTGTAATTAAAGTGTCAAATGTTCTTAAAGTGAAAGTCTCTGAGAAAATGGCATCACAAGCCAGTATCTCATGTGTCCGCCATGTGCATTGATGACTGCAGTGCTACGTCGATACATGGAATGGATGAGGCGGTTGTTGAAGGCCATAGGCACTTGAGCCCACACTCTGAGAAACACCTGATGCAGTTCAGCTGCAGTTGTCGGCCTTTGTCAGAAGTCATTCTGCTGTCTTTGAATCTCGTCCCACATTTGCTCAATGGGATTTAAATCGGGACTGCATGGTTCTGATGCCATTCTGCAGGAGGAAGTCTCTTGTTGCTCTCGTAGTGTGGGCACAGGCGTTGTCATGCTGAAACTCGTGGTTGCAGCGACGTGCTAAATGAGGTATGGTATGTGGTCTCAAGACTTGATCAGTGTACCGCGCCACTGTGACACCATTGCCTCTCCCTGGACCGATGTTCTGGAAGACCACAGGGCCAACCCTCTGTTCAAGACCAATTCCACCCCACATCATGATATTCAGACCACCCCACAAGTCTCTCTCAACAACACAACCATCCTAATAATGTTCACCACGGCGTCGCCAGACTCTCTCTGCCATCTGCTGTTGAGATACAGTAACGGCTCTCGTCTGAGAAGAGGACTATTCTCCACTGCTGCTGGCGCCAATGCTGGTGCTGTGCTGCCCACTGGAGACGGTCTCTTCGATGACGTGCTGTCAGAATGGGTCCTCGGTGTGGCCTGTGACAGTGGAGGTGTCTGCTCATCAATCGTCGACACACGGTGTCCGCACTAATGTGTCGCTGATGTGTCCCCATGGTCTGTCAAGCAGTTTCCGCAGCAATGATAAAGTGATCTTGAAGATGCTGTCACATTACATTAAGTAATATGTTACCACTGTTATACCGAGGCTGTTGTCTCCCACAACTGCTGCGATAGCGAAATCTACCACAGAGATCTCAATTACCTCATGCAGCACGTGCGTAGCCACCTAGCTGCCATGTGACACCCTTCACTCTTGTCTCTTCGCTTGCTCTAGCAAGACGTACAATAAACTGCTCAAGCGTTCCTGTTTCTCCGACCATTCGGTGATATTTATTACTGTTTATTCTCTCTAATAAACTGTGCTTTTACGGGGCGTTTGCTGTAACTATGCTTGGAAATATTTTTCCCGCCAAAAGGAAATATTTTTCCCGCCCTTTTTTTTTCTATATACTTGCGGGGTGTCTCGTATGCACGTTGCGTCTTACGTTCCCCTGTTCTAGTATATCTTGGGGTTTTTACATCACTTATTCCTCTATATGTTATATGTGTATGTTCTATATTCCCATTGCTCGTTTATTTTCTTGTGAAAATACTCGTTTGTGACTATTTGTGGTGCGTGTGTTGTAACCATGTTTTGCTCTTTGTTCATAGTACAAACAAAATGTCTGACATGGATGTTTCGCCGTCCTCCACCCCCTCTACCCCCGCAACCAGGAGCTGCGGGGTGTGCCGCAAGCGAGCGCTACCGGCTGTATGTGCAGTCTGTTTCCACCCCTGTGGTGGCCGGCTCGTCCGGTCGGGGTCCCCTTGCGGGTACCACCACCACCGCTGCGGCGGATCCCTTGGCGGCCCGTGGGCTGTCCGGGGTTTCCGTCGCTGCATTACGTGCATAACTTGTGGACTCCAAGCTGGCGGCCTTATCTCAGGATAGGCCGCTGGCTGTTCCGTTCCCGGCCACTTCGGTGGCCGCGGGGTCCACCGGTACGGCGGCGGCTCCCGTGGTCACCGGTCCTTCCCCCGAACCGTTGCTCCCGCTATCGGTTAAGGACCGCATGGCCATGGTTTATGACCTCTTTGAGGACATGTCCCGGCCGGTACCGCGGGGAATCCACGACTGTGGGTTCCTCAGAGGTATACGATGAGTCTTCCGACACGGCTTTCCCCGCATCAACCTTGCTGCGCGGTTTCAAGCCTTCCTTGGAGAACGCCTTCGCGGCGGCCTCCGGTCGGGGTCTCCCGTTGCCTCCGACGTCGTGGAGAAAGGGTTTATTCCCGGTACATGACCTTGCCTTTCCCGAGGCTGGTCCTACCGCGGAGGCCCATGTTGAGCGGTTGGGTGTCCGTGCCCCATCGGCTGCTACGGTAACGCAAGCTACCTTGCACCAGCTGGACGCCCTCGCTCGGCACTTCATGTCTCACGGAGACACTTACTTGGCTGCAGCGGCCCGTCTGGTCGAAGGTTCTCCCACGGACCGTGACCAGCGCATTTACAACTGCCTGCTCAGTTTAAATGCTTCCCTGGAGTACGTTGCCGAGGACTCTCGGCACACACTTGCTCTTGTTGGGTCCCTGCATAGGCGCCTGGGTGCCGCTCCTAACCGGAGCGCGCCCCAGGCTGCTGCGGCCGGTAGGTCTAAGGGGTCGGGTTCTTCTTCCTCTGGCAAGTAGCCCCGCCCTGAGGGCTCCGGTATGGGCAATCAGCTGCCCTTTCGCGGGAAGACGGGGAACTGGGGGAAGCCCAAGTCGTCGACGGACGGCAAGGGCCCCTCCAGGTGACTCTCATTGGAGGGGTTCGTATGCCGACAGCGCCAACTTCGGTTGGCCCTTAGGTGAACCCGAGTCACTTGGCCCTGGACAGTTGCGCCTGCCGCAGCCTGTCAGGGCCCCCTCTCCTTCCCCAGTGGGAGCCAGACTCCAGACTTACTGGGAGAATTGGGAACAAGTGTTCGACGACCCGTGGGTGGTCAACACGATTCGGTACGGCTGTCGGCTTGATCTCAAAGCGAATCCGCCGCTCACCGTTGCCCCGTTGGCAGGTTTCGATTCGGAAACCGATCTTCCCAACCTCGCCGATGCCATCGGCAGGTTGGTGGAGAAGAGGCAGTACGGGAGTTAGCTCTACCAGAAATAACACCGGGGTTTTACTCCAGGATATTTCTCGTTCCCAAGTAGGACAGTGCCGAACTCAGAATGATTCACACGTCCGCTCCCTGGCTGTTCACCCGGTTAACCACCCCCATAGTGGGGTTCCTCCACAGGAGGGGTGTCCGGTACTTCGCATAACTGGACGACTCGCTTGTAGCAAATCGAATGACGGACACCCTGTCACGCCATCTCGTTTTCGCACGTCAGCTCTTGGAGCAATTGGGGTGGATTATCAATCTCCCCAAGAGCGAGTTAACCCCTTCTCAGAACTTGCTGTTCATCGGAGGTCGGTTCAACACGGTGTCCCATCGCCTCTTTGTCCCCCCAGACCGGTGGCACAAGATTCAGGCGATGATTGCCAAAGTCTTAGCGGTGCAACAGACTGTTCACTTTTGGGAACAGCTGTTAGGGCTACTTGTATCAGCCCAGGACTGCACCGAACGGGGTCGTCTCCAACTCCGCCCGCTGCACTGGTTTTTAATCCAGTTGTTAGCAACGGAGGTGAACAGTGCGACCGTCGCCCTCCCGGATCGGCTCCGACCGCATCTGGAGTGGTGGACGGTCCCTTACAATGTCTTATCAGGAGTCTCTATGCGGCCCTACCGGGCCACGTTGAACCTGTATACAGACGCCTCTCTAGTGGGCTGGGGCGCCCATCTAGAGGGGGAGGTGAGCTCGGGGCTGTGGTGCGTAGACGAACTAGGTCTTCACATCAATTGTCTCGAGTTCAAGGCAGTGATCAACGCAGTCAATCACTGGAAGCATCGTCTCGTCGACGCCCGGCTCATGCTGGCGACCGACAACACGACGGTAGTGTCCTATGTGAACAAACTGGGGGGAACCCACAGTCACTCGCTACTCGATCTCACGTTCGAGTTTTACGCTCTGGTGGACAGTGTCCCGTGCCAGATACGTGCCCGTCACATCCCAGGTGTGCGGAACGTACTGGCCGATGCTCTATCGAGGCCTCAGGATCCGAGCCCCACAAAGTGGATGCTGAACCCAGTAGTGTTTCAGTGGCTGTGCGAACGTTTGGGTCATCCGAAGGTCGACCTGTTCGCAACACGGTTCAACAATCAACTCCCGTTGTTTGTATCACCAGTCCCGGACCCGAGGGCCATCGATCACGATGCTCTCGCGTTAGACTGGACGGGCTTGGACGCTTATGCTTACCCGCCGACAGCGTTGATACCACACATTCTAAGCCGGCTCCGAGGAGTTCGCTGTCGAATGTTACTGATCGCGCCCATGTGGCCGAACAGATCGTGGTACCCCAACTTGCTGACCCAGGTCACGCAGTCGCCACTCCCACTGCCTGTGAGACCGGATCTCTTGATCCACCCTCACACCCGTCAGCTTCATCCAAACGCAGGGCAGTTCAATCTGCACGCGTGGATGTTGTCAGCGAGCGTCTGAGGAGTAAAGGTTTTTCTCGCCGGGCGTCTCGGGCATACGTTAGTGTGCATCGTGATTCTACCCAGAAGGTGTATAATGCACGTTGGGTTATTTTCACGAAGTGGTGTTGTAAACATCACATTCATTCGCCAGATAAGGTATCTGTGCAGGATATTGCTCGTTTCATGTCTCACTTGCGAGAGACCCGGAAACTCTCCGGGGGTTCCATTGCCAACTATGTCTCGTCTGTTGCTACGGTACGGGACGTTGCTATGGGTACCAGTCTCTCCAAAGAGCCGGTGATACAGGGTATTATCAAGGGTTTCAAACAGCACGATCTTAAGAAGGGCCGCCTTCGGGCACCGGCCTGGGATCTTTCCCTAGTGTTGCAATCACTTACGGAAGCTCTGTATGAACCCTTGCATAGTGCTTCGTTTCCGGCATGTGACTTAGAAAACAGCATTTCTCCTCTCCTTTGCCACGGCGGCACGTGTATCCGAAATTCATGCACTCGATGTCGCCAAGGTACGATTCGATAGGGGTGACGAAGGAGCGGTCCGCCTGGGCCTGCTCATGGGCTTCGTCGCCAAGAATCAGAGAGTCGGGCAAACGGAGAGAGAATTCACTGTGAGATCACTCAAAGAAATCTTACATCCTGCTGATACTGAGGACAGAGCGCTGTGTCCGGTTAGGGCCCTTAAGTATTATCTTAAGGCTTCGAATGAACGGAGACAAGGGCTTGACCGTCTGTTCATTTCGTGTAACCCTAACCGCACGGTTGACATAACTCACAACTCGATTGCGTTGTGGCTTCGTTCTGTCATCAATCTGGCGTACCGGTCTCGGGGGTTACCGGTAGCGGGGTCAAACCCGCACGAGATCAGGGCGCTAGCGGCAACATTTGCCCTACACTCGAATATCTCTGTTCGCAGAATATTACGAGGTTGTTACTGGCGTTCTGACTCGGTTTTTGCCAATCATTACCTCAAACAGGTCGCTGATGCCGTCGTGGAGAGTGTGCACCGTCTTGGCCAGCAGATCGCGGCGCAAGCGGGCACCTAAGGGGTGTGCCCAGCGCAATTCCGAACTCCTCAGGCGTCAGACCTTGCACGGTGGTCAATCTGGGTCGACTCCAATGTTCCCACTGCCGTGGGTACAGGAGTTGGGGTCCCACAAACCAGCGCACTCACACCACAGGTGAGGGCGGCTTTTTGTGTGCTTTGTCCTTATTTGTATTTTGACAATTATGTATTTAATTGTCTGTCGTGTATCCCAACCTTGTGATGCATGCTTACAATTACTGGAATTAGGTCACGCGCCTAATGCATACTTTAAGTAGGCTTGCTCTGGGATATACGGTCTGAATGAAATTAATTTCCCTCTTTTCGACTGTTTAACCTGATCTAAGATTAAGCTCACGCGGATACAGTGTTCTCATCCGCTGCGGCGATGAAATACCTATCCAGTGGGGCCGTTTGGAGTCACCAATCGTTTTGGCAATGACGATTGAGCTTTACGGTATGCGCTTGACAGTGCTTTGGTATTCCTATAGGGTAACGCCTAGCTAGGTGCATGCGCATCGAGTGCTTCCGCCTTGGTGTTTACTTCCGCTGGTCGGAAGAAACGCTAGCAGTCAGGATTCGGGTTGTAGGTGCTCCCCACCGCCTACTGTGGTAGTCAGCCTCGGTATAACAGTGGTAACGTATTACTTAATGTAATTTGTAGAATTTTCCTTTTCGGAATATTCTATAAGTAATACGTTACCACTGGGCTGCTGCCCGCCCGTCCGTCCCCCGAGCACTTGCTCGCAAGAGACAAGAGTGAAGGGTGTCACATGGCAGCTAGGTGGCTACGCACGTGCTGCATGAGGTAATTGAGATCTCTGTGGTAGATTTCGCTATAGCAGCAGTTGTGGGAGACAACAGCCTCGGTATAACAGTGGTAACGTATTACTTATAGAATATTCTGAATAGGAAAATTCTACAAAATCTGACAATCCTGACGTCGGGTGGTGACTCTTGGTCTTCCACTACGTGGTCAGTCATCTGTAGTGTTGGTGGTCTGGTACCGTTGCTGGAGCCTGTATATGGTCCTTACGTGGACTTGAAATGCATTGGCTACTTCCTGGGCGGTTTGTCCAGCTTGCAATCATCCAAGGGCTTGGTGTCGCTGATTTCTTGTCAATCTTGGCATGTGGTAGCAATTCAATAACGAATGAATGTTATCCAATCTGGATGGATTTTTATAAGGCAAGAAATGGGGAAACGCATGTGCATTTCAATTTGCACGGAACTCACGGTTACCATGGCCGTTGCTGTGATGCGTTTGGACGATCGGTTTTATTGTCATCTTCTTTGTTATTTTATCATCAAATTTCATTCTTTCCGGACAAGGTCATGCTAAGTTTTAGAAACTTTGACAAAAACTACCCAGATATTTAAATGACAACTTTTTATGCAATGTTACTTGGGGTGACGTATCTTTTGTAGTTCAGTATATGTTGTGGAATGTCTAGCAATTCACAAAGCCAACACCCATTGCTTTTGTCATGATTATGTACACAGTTGTTGAACTTAGCTGGACATTGAGTGCAAACTTAAAAAACGAAATCGCCAATGGGGCATCCTGTTTTGGGGCCCTATTGCATGTCAAAAGAGGCAACTAGATTGGATCATGAGTTTGTCTATAGTCAACATTAAAGTGTTGCCAATTGTTACTAGATTGACATTCACAGCACTGACTCTGCACACTTGTTGCAGCCGCGAACTGGAGAAGCTTGTCCACGACATGATGATCTGCGACCACGTGAGTCATGCCTTGATGAAGCACATCATTTCAACCCTGCATCTGGTGAAGACCAACACAGACACACTGGTGGCCTACCTGGCCGAGACCATCTCCGAGATACGAGAACCCATCACCATTGTGGAGAAGAGCCTGGACAAAGACGAGAGACGGCAGTTGGATCTGAAGGTAGAGTTAATGATTCTCAGAAGAGGCGACAGTCAGTCATTCTCAGTAGAGGCAGCAATCAGTCATTCTCAGTAGAGATGACAGTCAGTCTGTCTCAGTAGAGATGGCAGTCACTGGTTCTCAGTTGAGGCAGCAGTCATTCATTCTCAATAGAAGCGTCAGTCAGTCAATCTCAGTAGAGGCAGCAGTCAGTCAATCTCAGTAGAGGCAGCAGTCAGTCATTCTCAGTAGAGACAGCAATCAGTAATTCTAAGTAGCGGCGTCAGTCATTCTTAGTAGAGATGGCAGTCATTCTCGGTAGAGACGACAGTCAGTCATTCTCAGTAAAGGCAAGAGTCAGTCATTCTTAGTAGAGGCGTCAGTCAGTCAGTCAGTCATTCTTAGTAGAGATGGCAGTCATTCTCAATAGAGACGCCAGTCAGTCATTCTCAGGAGAGGCGGCAGTCAGTCGCTCTCAGTAGAGGCGGCAGTCAGTCGCTATCAGTAGAGGCGGCAGGTGGATCTGATGGTAGAGTTAATAATGGCAGTCATTCTAAGTAGAGACGTCGATCATTCTTAATAGAGATGGCAGTCATTCTCAGTAGAGGCGGTAGTCAGTCATTCTCAGTAAAGATGGCAGTCATTGGTTCTCAGTAGAGGCAGCAGTCATTCTCAGTAGAGGCGGTAGTCAGTCATTCTCAGTAAAGATGGCAGTCATTGGTTCTCAGTAGAGATGGCAGTCATTCTCAGTAGAGGCGGTAGTCAGTCATTCTCAGTAAAGATGGCAGTCATTGGTTCTCAGTAGAGGCAGCAGTCATTCTCAGTAGAGGCGGTAGTCAGTCATTCTCAGTAAAGATGGCAGTCATTGGTTCTCAGTAGAGGCAGCAGTCATTCTCAGTAGAGGCGGTAGTCAGTCATTCTCAGTAAAGATGTCAGTCAGTCATTCTCAGTAGAGACAGCAGTCATTCATTTTCAGTAGAGGCGGCAATCAGTGATTCTCATCAGAGACAACAGTCAGTCAGTCATTATCAGTAGAGATGGCAGTCAGTAATTCTCAATACAAACAGCAATCAGAGAGCAGTCAGTCATTCTCAGTAGAGACGGCAGTCATGCCTAATATTTTCTATGCTCATGCGTCTGTTTTTAGACACCAATATACCAAGTCGCCTTCTGTCACCAACAGTCAATTTCTTTGTTTCACCTGATCCCTTTTAGTGGTCAGTTCCATCTCCGCCCCGAATATTTTTCAAAACATGGTACACGGTTGATAGTGGAATGTCTGTTCTCTCTGTAATGACCTGTGCTGATCTGATAACCATGATTGTCTAATTCAGATAATCTTTGTTTTTTTCCAAAGCTGCCAATTCCACAGTTGTCATGTTTACCATCTGGTAGCGTGTTTACCAAGGGGGACAACTCTGGTCATACATTACAAATATAACTCCCTTGAATCAAAGTCAGAATAAGTTTTACAAAATTATATACCTTTGATATTATAAATGACCAAAATGCTATGAAGAATTCTCAGAAATTTCTGGTTTGCCCAAGCTGATTACATCCATGTGCATTTTAACTAAATACAAAGCTCCTATGCCTCCAATATTGAAACTGAATTTTGTTTCTTGACATGCAGATTGCCAATATCCGGGTACGTTTGCACCAGGCTAAAGAAGAGCTGGAGGATTGTGTGAGATGCCAGGAGTTTGCCCGAGCTGCAGAGCTGAAGAGCTCTGTGTCTGAGCTGGATGCTGAGAGATCCTCACTCCTAGAACAAGGAGAGCCTCAGTCACAGGAAATACGCACAGAAAAGGTGGGTTGGAGGTTATTCAAGTATTTATGTGAAAGATGCTTAAACAGTACTGCAAGTTTGTGTTTGCTTTAAATGTCAGTTGACAAAATGAAGAATAGACACAGGAAAGAATAATTTGGGGGCTATGAATTATTCAATCTATTGTCATTTCTTGCTACCAAGATAATGAAGGTCTCTTCCTTATATCTTGCAGAATGATCCCTTCACCATCCTGAAGTGTCTGACTGTCATCAGCGAACTGCTGACTCAACTTCCTGTGAAGACACTGACACCCACTCTGCACATGTTGCTGGAGAGCCAGGTAATACTCAGTGAAGACCCTGACATGTACATGTTGCTGGAGACCAATAAAGAGTCAGAAGGCATTGATTGCAATGTATCTCAATGTATGTCTTGTTCTGAGGAATGCAACGCTTGATTTCCTTTGTGCCCATTGCACATGAAGTTCAAGAGTAAAGTTATGTTTTGTTCAGCTAGCCTCTGTACATGTTCATTTCTGTATTTATCCCATGGTTGCAGGTGTTACCTGGAGTGCAGAACGCCGAGTCTGACGTGCGTAATGCTGCTGTCAAGGCGCTGGGACTCTGCTGTCTACTCAAGGAGGAGGTGGTCATACAGTACCTGCCGCTGCTCATAGAGGTCAGTTGATGATCAGACAGCTTCAACACTCTTAGTACTAAACAGGCCTTCAATTTGGCAGCCTGACCTTGACAAGACTTTAATTGTATCTCACACTTTGCATTTCTTCCTTCTGTTTCAATCCTTATGTGGAAACATTTCGTCCGAAGAGATCCCAGCATCACCAAGGTCACCACCTAAACACATGGGTTACGCAGTGTAATCCTGTGCTGTGACCTTACACGACTTGATCCTCTGACTACCCCTGCCAGTCCATTCTTTCAACTTCATCAATTGTACAAGTTCGCCCTCTACTTCTACTACGGGACGAAAGAGCCAGGATCGCTCTCGCACCTCAGATACAGATCATCTTGTTTCCTTATAAATCACTATTCAAGGGATAGATCATCCAAGGATCGACATTCCAGATCTACGGGCGACACTCACAGGATCAACCTTCTCAGTATTGGTGTTCTCCTGAACAACCTCATGACATAGCAACTAAAGTCACGGAACACTCCAGCTCGACAGGACGATCTTCATCCTTCTGAGGATGATTATAACAACGATTTGCGCATCGATCATCGGGACGGTATAGACCTCTCTTTCTACTACTCATTCCGATTGTCATCGTCATAAAACGTTTCCATTCTTACGACTCAGACCCACAGTGATGTAGTCATCGGCAGTGGATTGCCATGAGCATAGCCAGTACAGGTATCATCATCACAGCTGGGATTGATACCCTCAGACTATGGATCGATATCATGACATGCACATATACCCTTATGAATCGTGTGGCCGTTTCACCGATCAACATCGTTACCCGCCTTATCCTACAAATCTTGTTCTGACTTCTATCATTATACGCCATACACGGATCGATCTATGGATGAAACTCCTTGATTCAGATTGGCTGATACGGCACCCACAGTTGGACTTATACCGCCATGCCTCCTTAATTGGGTGGTGATATAGCTACTCTCAGCCCTAAGCGTTCTTCTACTGCCTCCACTGTGGATGATTGAGACCTTGCCCATTTAGAGACCACTGTCCAGCGTACTCTCCAGCTTATTTCAACCACTCTATCGGCAACAGAAGCACTCACCTTGTCCGTGTCACATGCCAAGTCCTCCGATGACACCCTTATCAGAGGTTCCTTTGTGCTGATTCGAGAGATCTCTGCCGCCATGGTCTCCTGCAGTACTGTCAGGGGGACGACACTCGCTTGTACCAACTGCCATAGTCTACCCTGTACCTGTTTGCCAACAGGAATCAGGAAGTTGCCAAGGACATCACTCGGAATACTTTTAAAGGTATCCCACAACTTGCTTAAGCTCCAGAAACATCACCTGGAGGAACAACAGAAGAAGGAGCGCCATCAAAGCGTGACCTCCGTGAGGTCATTGGGTCAAAGTCAAGTTCTTTTCGTGGCTATCAATCTCGTGGGAGAACCTCAACACCATGCCTTTCTCCCCGACCAGCCTTCTACCTCAGGTTCTTCAAAAGGTGTTGTCCACCAACTTGGACTGCTTTTGATCGTGCCCTACTGGCCAGCTCGAAGTTGGTTCACAGTGCTGGAGAACATTGCAGAAAGTTCCATCATCGTCTGCTGAGGGGTGATCTTCTCCTACACATCACCCCCACTCCTGCATCCATCTCCGGAAACCCTACATCAAAGGGTATTTGAAGAGAGTAGCCAAAGACCATCAGTCAGTCTCCCATATCACTTTCTCTTTTTAGCTCCGCTCGACTTTCCTTCGGACCTACGCCTTCACTGGATTGCCTCCTCCTGTGACATCCAATTCACATGAGACTAGAGCCTTTCCCTCTACCATGTCCTTGCACAGCAACTGTACCCTGTTCACCATCACAACAGTTGACAGCTGCACACCAGCGCAGATAGATTATACTATGTACCCGCTCCTGCTGTCCAGTACTCCGTATCCTGTACATACAGGAATATTGGAAATATTGGAACATCACTGCTTTGTTTATTGTCATCGTTATTCGAGTTCTCAGACCGAGTACCCAGTGGAGGGTGAGCTACCTTGTCTGTACAGACTCCGGTCTTCCACATCAAAGTCGCCCTTCGAAAGCTTTGTTCAAGCTCATAAGGAAACATAGGATCGAAAGAAGGAAGAAATACATAGTGTGAGATAGTATAAGTATATAAGAATACAATGTATTGTAAAGTTTATGAATTCTTTAATCTCTTTATTATATGTGATCATCCTTAAGATAAAACGTATTTCAACTGAATGAAGTAACTTTCGAAACCATGTGTCAATACATTGTTTGAGTGAATCACCCTATTTGTCATGTAATCCCTCTTGATTTACACCCATGTTTGTCTACATAAACACCCACAGATCAGGACAACTATGTAAACTTCTTGGGAGCGTTAACCAATAATTTATTGATCAAGCAGAAATTGCATCAATGTATGGGGCTTAAAGGTAGTTTGTGCTTGGTAACCTCATTTGCATATTTATATAATGATACCAAGTTGTTTTTTCTGATTGGTTTACCACATTGATAACACTAGCCATTATTAGATAAATATTTGTGACTTCATCTTTAAACATATATTGAAACACATCAGGTGTCCCAACACGACACAGAGACGGTGAAGACCACGTCTCTCAAAAGCCTGTTTGACTTGGTCCACATGTTCGGACTGGGCATCACAAGACAGGAAAGCAAGACAGCAGCGGAGGAGAGCAACTGCAGCGTCAGTTCCGACACAGTGGAGGCTGCTGCAGATTCCCCTGATGACACTCTGGCCGATGCCACTACCACCAGCTCAAAGAAATCTGATGCTTCCGCAGACATTGCAACCAAGCTGGTGGCCATTCTTAGTGCTTTCCTGGATTCCGAGGTAATCAACAACTAGAGTAGAGACACTTGTTGTTTAGGACAAAAAAGACAAGTCAAGACACTTGCATACATATTTATATTGGATAACCTGGACATTTAGGTGACAGATTAGCAAGGGTAGGTAGGTCAAATTAAATTGAATATATCTGACAGTTTTTGGTCTATTGTTTAACTTAACATTGCTTCAGTCAGTTTGGTTTAGGAGTGTGGAAATAATACTCACTCTGTTACAATGTAAGGGGTTGACTTCAATACAGTAACAAGTACTCTCTCCATGCTGAGAGACCCGTAAAGATTCCGGGGTAGAATCAGTCTTCAGCAACCCATGCTTGCCATAAAAGGAGACTATGCTTGTCGCTAAAGGTGACTAATGGGATCGGGTGGTCAGGCTCAATGACTCGGTTGATGCATGTCATCGATCCCAATTACATGGATCGATGCTCATGATATCAATCACTAGATTGTCTGGTCCAGACTCGATTATTTACAGACCACCGTAATATAGCTGGAATATTGCTGAGTGCGGCATTAAATAACACACCAACCAACCAACTATGATGAGATGGGGTTGGTGGGGTAGCCTAGTGGTTAAAGCGTTTGGCCGTCATGCCGAAGACCCGGGTTCGGTTCCCCACATGGGTACATAGTGCGAAGCCCATTCCTTGGTGTCGCCAGTTGTGATATTGCATTAATAATGCTAAGAATGGTGTAAAACCATGCTCGCTCGCTCGAGATGAGATGAGATGAGATGAGTTGGGCTTTTCCTCAGGTATTTCCTGTGTTCGGAAACCACACAATTACCATGATTACTTTGAATTTTGTTAAGGGCATTTTGAGGTTTCAGCCTTTCTCTTTTCTAATCCTTCAAATTTAGTGATTGTGACCACTCTTAGAACATTTTTCATAGTCATCAGGTCAGTTGACACCCAATCAAAACAGTGTTGCCTTTTGCTCCTGTTCCATAGGTTGACAGCTTGGCATTTTCAGCAGGCTACATGATCTGTATCTAGGATGTCAAGAGACTCAACCAAACCTGTTCTTTCAAAATGTCTCATGGTCGAATAGGGCCCCACTTCTAACCCAACACAAGTCTCAACCCACATACCTTATTCCTTGCTGTCAGTTCATACCAGAGAAATTATTACTGATGAAACACATGAACCTTGTGGTCACAGAGTTCCGAGTTGAGGACAGTTGCAGCTGAGGGTATGGCCAAGCTGCTGCTATCTGGCAGAGTTGTATCTTCCAAACTCCTGTCTCACCTCTTGCTGTTGTGGTACAACCCACTGACAGAGGATGACAACCACCTCAGACACTGTCTCGGAGCCTTCCTGCCGGTGTTTGCCTTCGCTTGCAGGTAAGTGGATACAGGTGTAGAATTTAATATGCCTCCATCATGTCGATGCATACTTCCAGCATAACCCAAATCAGATGTCAAGTTTGAGGGTAAGCCCCTATGATCAATGCAGAAAGGCTCCATTTTGAAGCCCTAGCATTTCAAGTTAAGTCGGTCATTGCTTAATGATTAAGCATGCATGAGAATAGCAAATTCATTATTTGCATTTTCAGACATTCTTTCTCAGTGTTCTTCATGTAATCAACAACCCTGCTGTTAGAGAAGCAACTCTTATGTGATGTTTTCCTATATTCTTCAACCACACATCTAGGAAACACTTCATCAGTGCTTTGAAGCCTTGTCTTTTGTGTTTTATGTTTATGTGTTAATGTTTATTTTGTTTCATTTTGTTTCATTCAATTGTTCTCAACAAATTCAGTAAATTAAACTAAAATGATTGATTAGAAAATGATCAGTCATATATTTCATTGATTCCTTTGTTGGAAAATACCACCAATCTATCGTCACTTACATCAATCACATTGAATGACACTGCCTCCACCTGTTTTCTCCCATGTTACCAGAGCTAACCAGGAGTTGTTTGAGGAGGCGTTCATGCCGACACTGAAGACCCTGCTGAATGCCCCAACATCCAGCCCTCTAAATGAGGTGAACGTCAGCAATGTGGGGGACTTCCTGGTCCAGCTCATCAACACCAAACTCCTGGTGGTCAACCAGAACTCCCAGAGTCTAGTCACTGTAAGTCTAACTGTCCGTGTGCAGAGTTGCTTCCCTTAGGCATGCCAGGAACCTATGATGGTGGAACTGAGTCCCAGTTTCCCCTGATTATGTTCAGCACTTTACCCATGCTCATAGATTTCACAAAAGTGGTGAACTCCTAAGACCTGCTTTACTTCACGACTTCCTGCCACATCAGCTATCCCATAGTGATAATGGTATTACTGAAATACTGTTTAAAGAGGAGTTAAACACAAATCAGATTCTAACCTGTCTTCAAAAACAGCAATACAAACTACATGCATATGGTTCTGGTGTTACACGGTTTACAAAGCGATGTTAAACCCAGCTCAGACATCTCACTCACTCACATAATACTCCAGTTGTTGAAAGGGATGACATAATTGTTGCTGTGTTACCTCCCAGGACAACCCAGGACACGACCACATAGCTGTCCTGGTGAGTAACGAGATCCTGTCCAACCCCGACTCCTTCAGTGTCAAGCTGTGGACACGCCTCCTGAACCAGCTGGACCTGAGCCCAGACACACAGCTCAAGGACATGCAGGTGCTCTGTGACCAGATGCTGGAGGTAGGTACAACACACTGTCATGATCACATGTCTCTACCTAGCAACTCAAGGACATGCAGGTGCTCTGTGACCAGATGCTGGAGGTAGGTACAACACACTGTCATGGTCACATGTCTCTACCTAGCAACTCAAGGACATGCAGGTGCTCTGTGACCAGATGCTGGAGGTAGGTACAACACACTGTCATGGTCACATGTCTCTACCTAGCAACTCAAGGACATGCAGGTGCTCTGTGACCAGATGCTGGAGGTAGGTACAACACACTGTCATGATCACATGTCTCTACCTAGTAACTCAAGGACATGCAGGTGCTCTGTGACCAGATGCTGGAGGTATGTACAGAACTCTCTCACCTTCAATTGCTAGGTACCTGACCAAGGCCCCTAGTGACCAATTGTATGTCAATTTGGTGAACTCATTACATGCCAAGTGGTACATCGACAGAATTGTTAATTGATTCAGTTGATGGATATTTCTCTCTGCAGGTTGTGAAAGAAAAGCAAAGTGTGAAGGCCGTGGAGAAGTTTAAGGCAACTGTTGACTCCATGCTTGCTGACAAAACCAGCAGCACCAACGCTGATGTTGTGCCCAAGACAGAAGCAGAAGGTGGTGATGTCACCGAGGCTGATGCCAGCAGTGCTGTTGCTGACTCGCAAGACCCCCTTCCATCTTCACAGACCAGCACAGTCCCTGACTCACAAGACACGGTCGCTACCAGTGTCGATATCACCAGTGTCGTGTCCGATTCGCAGGGCTCAGATGTAGCTATAAGTGTTGTTGACTCGCTATCAGACTCACAGAGTACTCAGGTGGAGAGTTCCAGTCAAGGGGAGGCAACTGGAACTGTTACACCTGCATTAAACACTACAATAGAAAACACGACTGCGTCTACCAAGAATGTGAGAGGCAAACGAACAACAAGAGGTAGGGAGTGTGGAATGTTGTTACTGCAGATGTTGTAGTGGAATGTTGTTACTGCAGATGTTGTAGTGGAATGTTGTTACTGCAGATGTTGCAGTGCAAGGTTGTTACTGCAGATGTTGCAGTGCAAGGTTGTTACTGCAGATGTTGTAGTGGAATGTTGTTACTGCAGATGTTGTAGTGGAATGTTGTTACTGCAGATGTTGTAGTGGAAGTTTGTTACTGCAGATGTTGTAGAGGAAGGTTGTTACTGCAGATATTGTGGAAGGTTGTAACTGTAGATGTTGTAGTGGAAGGTTGTTACTGCAGATGTTGTAGTGGAATGTTGTTACTGCAGATGTTGTCGTGGAAGGTTGTTACTGCAGATGTTGTAGAGGAAGGTTGTTACTGCAGATGTTGTAGTGGAATGTTGTTACTGCAGATGTTGTAGAGGAAGGTTGTTACTGCAGATATTGTGGAAGGTTGTTACTGCAGATGTTGTAGTGGAAGGTTGTTACTGCAGATGTTGTCGTGGAAGTTTGTTACTGCAGATGTTGTCGTGGAAGGTTACTGCAGATGTTGTCATGGAAGGTTACTGCAGATGTTGTCGTGGAAGGTTGTTACTGCAGATGTTGTCGTGGAAGTTTGTTACTGCAGATGTTGTCGTGGAAGGTTACTGCAGATGTTGTAGAGGAAGGTTGTTACTGCAGATGTTGTAGTGGAATGTTGTTACTGCAGATGATGTAGTGGAATGTTGTTACTGCAGATCTTGTAGAGGAAGGTTGTTACTGCAGATGTTGTCATGGAAGGTTACTGCAGATATTGTCGTGGAAGGTTACTGCAGATGTTGTCGTGGAAGGTTGTTACTGCAGATGTTGTCGTGGAAGGTTGTTACTGCAGATGTTGTCGTGGAAGGTTGTTACTGCAGATGTTGTCGTGGAAGGTTACTGCAGATGTTGTCATGGAAGGTTACTGCAGATGTTGTCGTGGAAGGTTGTTGCAGATGTTGTCGCGGAAGGTTGTTACTGCAGATGTTGTTGTGGAGGTTTAACTTGTTTGGCAAGTTTATGTTGCAGAGTGTGGTGGTGTGTTGTTACAGATGTTGTAGTGAGATGTTGTTATGACAGTGAAAGTTTATTTTGTCAAATCTTTGTTACATTTTCCCCCATTTCATTTGAATCTGACTTAGCCACTTATAACCACTTTAACAACTGTTTATTGATGCTTGGACAATGCTGTCTTTGACACTGTCACCAACCTATTTCCTAGCTAACTGTTCAAAGATTCAAAATTATTTTTCCTCAATACTTTTTCAACCTTTTATGTCTAATTAAATATCCTTTTTAATAAACTTTCTAGTACATAAATAAATTCAACACAAATAGAAGAACTATCATCATATGTTCATACACATGATACAGACATGGATTTGACCGTCTCAGTGGTCTTGTGGTAGAGCATCTGCACTGAGAGCGGAAGGTCCGGGGTTCGCCCGCGGCCACATCATACCAAAAGACGTTAAAAGATGATACCTGTTGTTACCCTGTCTGGTGCTTGTCATTAAGGAGCTAAAACAGGGACTGGTCATCTCGGAGTCAGGATACTGTGTCTGAGTGGGATATTCATGTTAAACTGCAGCACGGCATCTCAGTGAACTAGCACTATAAAATCGGCATCAGTCCGGACTAGTACAAGCAGCCACACACATGTGCATGCACGTCGCTATATAAGAGCAATAATCTTGGACTTGACATCAACCCAATTTCACCTAACCTCACAGACATGGATCACATTGTAAGTGTTGAACTCCTTCTTGTTTGTAGCTAAATCAGTGAAAACACCTGCCCCAATCCTGATGCCCCAGGCCACCAAGACAGCCAGGTCAATGACAGGCCGACGCACCCGAACACAAGTTCAAGCAGACAGGTAATAGAAAGCATTGTTCATCTTGCAATAATCATACTTTATTTATTCATTTATTTATTTTTCCTGCTGATTCAGGTACATGTGAGTTGAAGGTTTTATGCAATGATCTTCTTGTTAAATGTGTAGACAAATTTTTAACTGATCCTGCTGTTGATCTGTAAATGTAATCCCAATGGAGATCTCTCACGCAGAGAGAAACACCTCGATACTTATTATATCCAATATTTTTCATGTTCATGTGTAGGATAAAGTACATTCAAGGGTTTTGATGATATTTTAAACCTGCATCCCTGGGATAAAACTGAAGGGCGTCAGCCCCCAGGTTTTATCCCAAGGATAAGGGTTTTAAATATCATTAAAAAACCCTAGGGGAAGTGTTTTATCTAACTTATAAGCCAACTTAAAACAACATTTATCAACATTTTTGTTGCAAACATACTTTCCATGAACCTTAGGAAACAGGCGTAAAGTATCTGTTGCTGACGTACAAAAAAGACAAGTTTTGCGTGTTCAATCCCAGGGAATATAAAGAAAACATTTGTCATTAGATTTTATATTTCATTGCATTATGTTCAAATGCAAAATATAATTCTAGCGAAACACATTAATATGCTACAATCTAAATGGAAGTTTATTCATAGAATCCCAGGGATATTATAACATACCTGTTTATGAGATTTAACCTGACTGGAGAACAATAGGATGACGTCACTAGGGGGTTTATACGTACTTATCATGCATTACATAGGTAATGTTTGCACCCAGTAAGCTTCCTACCCACGAACACCTAATTTCACATGTACTTGGTTTATCTCTAATGAAAGAGAGTCAAGTGTAGCTTGGATCACGTGATTCCTGGTAGGTGAATGTGTTTTGGCTATTTGATTCACGGAAGTGTTTCTCTCTGGGATCATTTTCGGTTCAACTGCAAGAGATGGCATTATATGTAATGACACTCAGTTTGCCAAGAATCACTCTTCTGTTTTATTTCAGCGAGCTAGAGAACAGTGTATTTGGCTCTCCCACTCCACTCCGAGGCAGCAAGGCAAATATAAAACAGGTTGAATCACTAGAGCACACAAGGAGAAATCTACAGGGTCTTCTACTGGATGGCAAAGACAGTTCCCAGTCTGTCACTGAAGAACCCAAAACTCCTCGCAGTAAACGGTATTAAACTTTCACCCTCCAAGTCAGCTGGGTCAGCAGTACAATTGGTAAAGAGTTTAAACTTGTTAAAGTAGACACATCTTGGATCGGAGTAGCTGCTTGACTGTATGCTTCCAAAGAATGTATACCTGAACCCCTGCACAATACTGCAGGACATATGCTTGTAGCAAGCCTACAGTGTTGCACCAAGGCGCTGGGATCTAAGAGAGTCTTTCAAACAACTTAGAGGGTGGTGCAGGAGTCTTAAGACTACAAGATATGATTGGAAAAAATAACATCACCAACAGGAAATGCACTGCTGCTGTCCCTTGAATGTTTTTATCGGAAATAGTAGGGCTTTATATAATATGTCACGTCAAATATAACTCATCAGGAGTGGTACCTGTCATCTTATACAACCAACATAGATTAAGTAATATTTAAACCAGCTGCTTCAGCATGTTCAGGCATTCGCTCCGAGACCTGGGTACAATGTGTGAAGCCCATTTCTGGTGTCCACCACCAGGATATTTTTGGAATATTGCTAAAAGCTGCTTCTGACCATACTCACTCACACAGCATGTTCTGACTTCTTTATCACTGCAGCGTAAGAAATTGGCGCTAGTCCTGTAGTCCTTGCCAAACTGCCCAATAGTAAAGGTATCATAAGGACCAGTAGAAATTTGCCATTTTTAGGGGTTTTGCTATATGTTATAATAAGGACTAGTGGACTGAAACTGTTAGTTTCTACCACTGGTCAATTCAGGATTTGTCATTATTACATGTACATGTTGTCTCAGTACATGAAGTAGGGTGTTACATGGACACACTGATGAATTGTTTCAGGTCTTATTGTTCAAAGATCAGGGAACCTTAATATGCAGTCTATGTTGTATACTAGAACAAAAGAAAGCATCAATTCCAGAGATGGTTTTGTAAGCATGACAAAATTTAAATTACATTTTACCACAGCAAGTTCAACATTGAATTCCTGAACATGATATCCCGGATACATAATCATGACAATGGTTCCAATAAGAAACAAGATGTGTTCAGGATGTTCATCCCACAACCTAGCCGCCCTGGTGCATCACCATCCACTGTGTACACCAATGATGTGGTAGTGGAGCCTTCTTCTCCAAGACTCAACCCTGCCTTCCGTATATTGCTTTAGATTTCTTTGACTCAGTGATGCATTGCATGTTTCCTTTGTTTCCTTGTATGGAGAAACGTGCTTGTTTGTCATGGTGTGCATTTGTTTGTTTGTTTAATACCAAATCCAGCGATATTCCAACGTATGGCAACAGCCTGTAAACAATCGAGTCTGGACCAGACAATCCAGTGATTGAAATTGCATGCACATTGCTATAGAAGTGCAAAAGAAACAAGTGTTTAACACCTTTTCACCTCGCACACGCGCACGCACACACACACACACACACACACAGAGTTACAAATGGTCCAAAGACCGCCTCCGTGGTCTAGTGGTAGAGCGTCCACCCAGAGAGCAGAAGGTCCGGGGATCGATCCCCAACCGCGTCATACCAAAAGACGTTAAAAGATGGTACTTGTTGTTACCCTGTCTGGCGCTCGTCATTAAGGGGCTATGACAAGGACTGGTCGGCTCGGAGTCAGTATACTGTGTCTGAGTGGGGTATTCATGTTAAACTGCGGCATCGTATCTCAGTGAGCTAGCACTATAAATTGGCATCAGTCCGGATTAGTACAAGCAGCCACACACACACACATACATGCACGTCGCTACATAAGTGCAATAATCTTGGACGCGACGTTAAACTCCATTTCACCTCACCTCACAAATGGTCCAAATGGAACCCCCTGGTACGCTGGTACCACCCCAGTAACAGAGACCCATAACTGCTTTTGAGGGGCTGAGGGCACAATATAATTGTGTGTCCCTCGGGGTGCAGTTTATGATTTTTCTGCGTCCATTCTCCACATATATGTGTACTGGACGCACATTTGTGCATGAGAAAACCCTGTTATAAACCACCCTTCCAACTAGGACAGTGTGGTATGTACCAAACCCACTTGTCCACTGAATGCTCACCTCAGGATGCCTGACTCTCACACTTCAATAAAACTGTTTGACCGAGATGTGTCATAATGGAGGCAAGGTGTATGTTAATGGGTTTTTTATACTTTCAGCGCTGGTACACGGTTGCAGAAGCGACCAGCACTTACAGACGTCAATGGAGACTGAACCTGCTTGGCAAGACTGACTTAGTGACTTATACCATCAATGCTATCACCACCATCAGAGTATCTTCAAGTGTATCCGCCAACGTTGACATGATTGGGCTGTGAGATTAGACACCCTCATCCATTCAAGAAACACCAAGTTGATCTGAGAGATTGCTCCTCTTCAAGCAGATCAGCACAGCAAGTTATGTAGGCTGTCATCTGTCTCTTGTTCCTTTCTGTTCTATTGTCACTTCCAATCATTGATATTGTTTGTCATTTGTACATACTTTGTCCTTCAAAAATGTCATGAACAATAAAATTACTTGAACTAGTTTCTGGTGTTTTGCTTTCAGTTAACTGCTAAGGGTTTGACAGTCTTTTCAGATTTGGCAACAGTGTGTAAGGCAGGCAAATCTACTCATATTTCAGATCAAACAAATAACATCTATCTCGCTTGAACATGAGGTATTATCTGTTGAATGCTTTGTTGTTTTGTTTTTTGCCCTTTAGTCAGCATTATTCCAGCTATATCACTGTAATTAATCAAGTCTAGGCCAGTCAAACCAGTGATTGATGGAATGAGCAACATGTAGCAGCCAAAACACTTTGGAGTCCTGTGATGGGATTCAAACCACAGACCCTCTGATCCGAGGTTGGACGCCTAGTCCACATGACCAAAGAGTCAACACCCCCTCAGCAAGCTGACAAGTTCAGGATGCATCTGTGGCAGACCTGTCAACCCTCCCACATTTTGCGGGAGACTCCCGCAATTTGATGAAATCTCCCAGTCTCCCGCAAGATGGACTATTTCTCCCGCAAAACAGAATTCTTCATTATTTAAAAAAATCGCCTCATTGTCCCGTGAGTGAAAACAATGAACGGGAAGTTTGCGTCCTGATCTGTCCGGTAGGCTCCCGGATTAGCGACCCTTATCACAGCCACCCGCAGGGGGACCCAGATGGGCCTTTGTCCAGTAATCAAATGGTAATTAATTTCATATGGTGAACGATTGAACAATGTAAACTGTTAAGAAAACTCGGATAGTCCTAACAGGTGCCTGAAGGGTTGAACTTGAAATGAAAAATCAGCCAAGTATTCATCACTTCATGAAATGAACTGTTGTCTTCATGTTCTTAGCGTGTTTATTCTTCCATAATTTAAGAACGTAGATACATATGGCCGGTCCAGTTATACATGACTTTATTGGTTATCAGATTTGTCAGAAACTTTGTTAAAACATCAACATACCTCAAAGTTACGTCATTGAACTCTTGGAAATGAAAACAAAATATGTCCTGCAAGCGCCGTCTTCAGAAACAACACTATGCGTGATTGGTTGATTCGGTAGTCGAAATAACAATGAGTTACACGATCAGGCTTCCTCACAGCAGGATTTCAAAGTCAAAGTTTAAAGTGAAACTTACAAATTTCCTTTTGACTGACATCGTGACTTGTGTGCACAGAAAATATCAAAACAGAACTTTATCAAATTTTGCGAGAATGTATCATGTGATTATTTTACACGATTTGATTGGCTAATAGTTTGCTTGCGTCCCAGATCTGCAATCTAATTTGCATACAACAGTACTAGTCAACCAATGAGATTAATACACGCCAAGGTCAGAAAGGTCAACAACGACAACGAGACTCATTTCATTCATAAATTGTAGTAAAACGTAATAGTACTTCCAAATATGGCATACATTTCTTGGAATGGAATAACGTGAACATTTCTAGGAAATTTAAGAAGCGAAGTAATGGGACTGTCAACAGACTACCGCAGACAGAAAAAAACCCAGTATATCTTATTGAAATTAAGGGCGATGATGTTGCGTCAGGATAAATGCATTTGATATTTCTTTGGCGAATTTTGTAACCAACATCGCGCCAAATACTCAGAAAACCTGCATCGTAACGAAGCCTGACAACTGGTCGGATTGAACACGTCGTCAACTGGTCAAGCTACTGATTGTGAAATTTCAATATCTGTTTGCGTTTATCTGAGATGATCTTTGAACGAAAGTTATATGGGTAGATTGTGCTGGGTTTATTTTTGGAGGAGGAAAATGCAAACGGAAATTAAGCAAGCTGTACGTATAAGAAACTTATTGATTATTTATTGTTTCAAAATATTTGGTTTTCTTTGTAACATTATTAAAAATAATAGTTGGAAATTATCTTATCCACTATCTTAAAAATCTCCCCCTTTGGAGGCAAATCTCCCCCATTTTGAAGTCAAATCTCCCACATTGTCATGATGAGGGGTTGACAGGTCTGATCTGTGGCCTGACTCAACACCCTGTTACAAACACAACAAGTCAGCACACCTGACCACTTGATCCAATTTTGTCTCCGCTTACCACAAGCAGTCAGTCCTGGGGCCTGTTCTGATTTCGTCCAGGTCTGTTATATGCCAAAATTTAAAGGCTCCAGACTTAGTTGATGACATTGATCATTGCTGATAATACAGCATCACCGGATTTTGTGGTCAGACACACCCGCACTCATATAGCTTGAATATTGTTGTGTGCAGCATTTAAGACAAACACACACTAACTGTGTTGAACACTCATTTGGTTTAATTGACTTGCTTGATATCCACGAGAAGAGTTTATTCTATGGGGCGGGATGGGTGGTCTAGGCCTCAATTGTGTGAGAAGACCAGTGTGAGTGAGTCGACTTAAGCCCAAGTGATGCAGGTCTTAGCCGTTTTCTGTGTTATCGAAATACAGAGACACAGGTGCTGACAAACCAAGACTCGTCATGGCGAATCTGAGATTCGATCATAGGATGCTGGTATGCTTAAGGGACGAAACTTTGTATTGTGAGCCACCAGTTATCTTATGTTCTGCTCCGTGTCATTGTACTTGGGAACACGAAAAGAATTGCGGTATGGAAAGGATTGCATTGTTGGGGATTAAGGATTTGTTTTGTTCAATGCTGTTTTGTTTAAATGCGTTAATGTGAAGATACTTGCATTTCGCTGGAAGCGAAGGCACCCTTGTGTCCCTAGGAAAGAGCTTTTGGAAAATTAACAGGTCGGCATCAATTTTATTAATGTAATAAGCGATTTTTTAACATGCACATAAGAACATGTTACTTTCTACTGCAAAAATAAAAGAAGATAAGTGTTATCAAAAACATGACATGAAGTTGGACTTTTTGACACATGAAAAGCCACAAAAAACATTTGCATAACCATAAAATTCTGCGCTAAAAACAGGCCATTGTACGAATCCGACTTTAAAATAAGCATATGTTTATGAATCACTATCAAATCATGACATGGGAATTACATCGGACATCATATTTGTCACTGGTGCATACATTTGGAAATGACCTCCACATGTCCACCATTAAACTTTAATAAATAAATAAACAACGGTAAGTGTATAAATCCGATATTTGCACATCTTACGATCTCTGATTTTAAGAATACGAGGTGACGTGGTCGGCTGTCAAATAAGACTTGTTAATGTTTCATTTGCTTTTAAATTTCAGAATATCAAGCACATCAAAGTCTACATTGCTATTCTGGAACAAGTTCAAGGCCAGTCTGGTTGCAGTCATGTAACATTTGACTTCATTTCTTGACCATTTTTGCTGGCGAACACACTTGAACCCACACTCCGTCGCAGTGGTGACTCAGCATAACACCACTTCCACAGGCTAATTTGCATATCACGTGACCGGACTTTTCTCTTGTTTGTAAACAAACGCGCTTTTTCAGAAATCAGTATAGAACGGACTAATGCAAGTATTTGGGGGCGCTTTACATATTGTTTTGCATAACTATATAGATATGCTACTACAACTGCGACAGTGAGTTGCATGACAATATATATTTATGCATCAAAGTGACCGTGTCGCTGGCTCTCCGTTGGGCTTCGATGACAGCACGTGGAGCCGTACAACCAATGTAAACATAGGATAACTACGCAAAAACAAGTAGATTTTTACGTATTTGCATACTTTCTCAATGAAAGTTAACCATTCTTTGACATTTGTTTATGAAAATGTGTAGACTTGTCAAACATGAAACGGATGAAAAGCATATGCAATATCTTGAATGGACTGTGAAAGATGTGACGAATCGTCACATGGCGCTGGCCTGTGGCAGAGGTACTATGCTAGCTGGCTGCCGGCCGCATGGAACTCTGGGTAGGAGAGTGACTTGAACCATACTGACCTCTCTTGTCCACAAACTTCTTTTCGGCCCATGTCCGAAAAGCAGTCCGACGCCATTTAAGCCATCATCATGTAACTTGGTTTACCGCGATGTCCTGGGAATCAAAACTAAGTTGCTGTGCGGTGTGTCCAGTTCATTCTGACACAGTGGAGCTTTTACGTTGGAAATACCCACAAGCAGCAACTCCTGATAACGTTCTTTGACACATAAAGATATAAGACAGGTTAAGACTTCACAAAGCTACTTAAAGCAATACACACAATCAAATCACACCCAAACACTATAATCAATTTAACGATGCCACTTAAGAAAAATGATGGCTGTAAATTACACTTATGTCAATAACGAAATTGTCCTAGACATTGTACACATGGGCCTATGCAGTCCTGACCCTGTTAAACCCCAAAACCTGTCTTCTGGGATATCACTGCTGTGGATGCTGACCTGCGTCGTAAGAGACAGCTTTCAGTATCCCTTATAGAATCAGGTGTGCAAGGACGACGCTAGTCAATACTCATGACATGGTTGTACAAGAACAATAAAATCATCTGGATAATATAAGCCTCAGCAAAAGTTAAACAACGCCCAAGTGAAAGGTTGACATGGATATTATGTCGGGATTAGGCTTCGTAAGTTCAGGAATCATAAGTACTCATGTAAATGGTGTCGGGTGATTTTTGAGACACAGAAAAACAGTCCCCCCATATAGTCTCCGCTAGGTCAATATTTGTTGACCCATCCGTACGAGAGCGACGGTATAAAGAACCAGGAAAACCAGTGATTGATAATATGAGCAACTCGCCACGCCTTCCAAGGTACGATGACAAGCATCAGCCATGTCACCAAACCTGGCCAACAGAAAGTATAGAGTCCGCGCTGACGACAAGCACGGGTTACTGGGAACCTATATTTCCCGCCAAGTAGGAGTGGTTAAAACAACACATAACCATGAGCACATGTACAATTACTTCGTTTCCTACTTCACGCACTATGGACCCGTGAAGATCCGGGAAAGAATAGATCTTCATCAACCCATGCTTGCCGTAAAAGGTGACTTTGCTTGTCGTAAAAGGCGACTAACGGGATCGGGTGACTTGGTTGATGCATGTCATCGATCCCAATTGCGTGGAACGATGACCCAAC